AGGGACAGTCCCCATAAGCTAGACATTTATAAGAATCACTTTTGCTCTTCTTTACCACACCTATAGCATCTAAATTTAGCGTTCTGTCCTTCCCTATTTACTGGGAATGCCTTGTACTCTCCTACCTTTCAGGTGTTTTTCCTTCCTCCACTTTTGGATGCCTACTTCACCTTTTGATTTATGTACCTGCTTTTTTGTTGAGGCAGTTATATTATGTGCTTGTGCATTAGAAGCTTCCATACTACCAGCTAATTGCATGATTTTCTCCAAAGAAATATTCTCTTCATTCAACAGGACTCTCAATGCCTCAGAATGACATCGATTGATAATGGAGTAAGCCCTCTGGAAAAACTCATATGTACTAGCCAAAGATGTACCAAACCTATGTACAAATCTACTTACTGATTCGACTGCTTCTTGCATGTAACTATAAAAGTGAAATCTTTCTTAACCCATTGCCGCCGGGAAAAATGAACAAAAAATGGGGGAAATGCAGTACTCATTTTTTAAAATATTTTTGTGAAATATCTCTGTCCATAGATGGCTCTGCTAGTACTGATTTCACCTTTCCTTGAATTGGCGGGAAAAAAACGTATACTTACTAGGGATATGAATATAGATGGTGTTATTTTTAACAGCAAATTAGGATAACGTTAAATATTTTCGTAAATCGATGAAAAGGGTGAACGGGCGAGACAGGCAGTACTCTTAATTGGCTCATTGGATACTTAGTACAAGTATAGCCATCTATGTGTAAAAACAATCGAACAAGTCGACTCACAGTGGGCATGGCATGTACGTACATACCATCCCCGGCGGCAATGGGTTAACAGACATTTCATTCAGGAATAAAATGTGCATTGAGCGCGGCAACTGCGCCTGAATAGGTAGTAATAATAGAAAATTCGGGCAATTCACAAAGTACACTTTGTACCTCGATTCATCTAGCATTAGGGAATACCAGCTTCTTCCTACGATCATCTGATCTTTCTGTCAGTTCTAGGAATATTACAAAAGCTGCCATCCATTCTAACACATGTTGACATTGCTCATGTTTACTGTGATGGTGTCAGTACTGGAGGATGGCAGAAATGGGTGTGGAGTCATTATCAGACGGTTCACGGTGTGGCGTCATCCTCAGACATTTCACAGAGAGTGAAGTGATCACTATAAGCACTGGGATGATACTGATTAATCACAAGCTGAACTATGGGCTATACAGATTGCGGTAATCAAAAAAGATAATCATTGGGGATAGCAGGGGAGCACTGTACTCCTTTAGCAAAAGAACCATGTGTCTGGCTACATAATTGAGGAGTGTTGTTTAAGAGCTCATTGGTTACGAGGTAAAGAACGAGTGATTATACATCCCTCTCTCGCTTCCCCCCTCCCTCTCCCCCCCCCCTCTCTCTCTCTCTCTCTCTCTCTCTATATATATATATATATATATATATACATATATATATATATATATGTATATATATATACATATATATATATATATATATATATATATATATATATATACACATATATATATATATATAAAGAGAGAAAGAGAGTCAGACCAAGAGAAAATGTGTGTATGTATGAGAGTCGGAGAGGGAGAGAGGTTTATGAATATATATATATGTGTGTATATATATATGTGTCAAAGTATTCCTCTTGTTTTATAAATCATATAGTATTTCACTAGTAAATTAGGTCTTATTTGATATACTTGTTTTTCATGTTTCTGATTTATGTTAATGGTTGCTAATCGGTCTGCAAGATAAACTTGCGACCTTCCGAGTTCGAGAGTTTTCTACTCATGCAAGTGAGTAGAATCGTCCACGTTCTGCAATACCACGCCAAGACCTATGTAGCTGGCGTCTGTATGGAGATAAAAGTCCTTTTCGTAGTCAGCAAGATATAAGATTGGAACATTTACAAACAAATCTTTTAACTCACTGATTCTTTTAAGAAGATTAGGGGTTAAATTCAGCTTATTAGGAATCAGTTTCTTTAGAAAAAAGGTCAAAGGATCCACGAGGACAGCCAAGTTCGGGATGAACTTACGATAAATGAAAGTGTTCCAAGGAAATTATGTAGCTGTTTCTTGGTTTCCGGCATCAGCATATTCTTAACTGTATTATCTTTATCTGGAAGGGTACTCAAGCCTTTCTCACCAAGATAAAACCCAAATTATTTAATACTGGGAAAAGCTAGGAAACATTTGCTAGACCCAGCAATCTTTCCAGAAGATTCCTTAAATGAACTAAATTATTGTTGGATGAGGAGCTATGCTCCACTAAATTATCGAATTAACACTCTAAAATCGTCAAGCATGCAGTAACTTTATGTATTAATCGAATAAAACTAGCAAACACATTCGCAAACCGAACAGAAGTTTCGTGAACTGCATAACTTCACCTTTGTGAGTAGCAAAAGCCGAACACGCTCACGTCTTTCAGAGCCCTAAAATCTACTCAAAAGCGCCATGCAAGATTGAACTTTTTAATTAGTAATACGTTAGTAATAGCTTAAAGCGATCATTCTATTTCCTCATCAAAAGTTTTTCGGAGATGTTGAATAGGGTACGACTTAATATGAACCAGGACAACGGTTGTCAAATCAATGCCATGTATGTTTGACCCTTTTAATTAGTAAAACGGGTGAGCAATATAGATATATCGATGGTTCGATAGCGCCTAAAGCGATCGTTGTATTTATTTCTTCATCAAAAGCTTTTCGGAGATGATGTTGAATAGGCCACGGCTTAATATGAACCAGGAAAACGGTTGTCAATTTAATGCCATGTATGACCGTGCTGGTTACACCTGGTTGGTCTAGCCTAATACAACCCGGGGATATCGCAAGCAAAATTCGCGTTTTCCACGGATGTTGGAAGGTCATCTATAACACACACCTGGCGAACAAACATCGTCACGCCTGATATATTTCTTGCGCATATTTATTGTGATACAATTTTATCTTTGAATTAACCTTTACCTCGTAATCTCTGCCGTTTTCGTGCTTTCTCAATGCCGAATAAGGTCCCTTCCACTGCATAGGTAACTTGTGAGATGCTGGTAATAAAACAAGTACTTCGTCGCCTTCGTTTTATTTGTGTACTTTAGCACTTCTGTCAAAATAGGCTTAATAAATCTACGCAGAAACGTCTGCATGGGATGAAGTCGTTTGAGCTGATTCTTCTAATTGGGATCACAGATCAAGAACGCTTTTAGTCTCGTCATTGATGTCATCTCTGGTCCATAGATCATGAAGAATGGACAGTGGATCACGTACCGTATAACAGCTGAAGTGGAGGATATCGTCAGGAACCTCGCGGTACGCGAACAGATGGAATGTAGGGATCCCAATTGTATCTTAAGCATGGAATTAAAACGGCATGAAATCACTCTACAGTCCCGTTGCAGCTTGTATAATATGGGCTTGTAAATAATGTTTTTATGGGTAGTAGTCAGTTTATCACCACCATCAAATCGGACCTGAGCCGAGTTCTGCGATCGAAAAGTATTTCGGTATTTCAATACGCGAAGAAGTAATTAATAAAGCCTCTGCAGTAGTGATGGTATCTATATTCCGCAAGGGAACCGCTTTAGAGAATTTAGTTGTCTTGTCAATGAGTGTCAGTATAAACTCTGCTGGACGCGGGTATTATCGGCCCCACAAGATTAATTACTACCCTAGCAAACATATTGGCATCTGAACCATGGGTGCTTTCCCTATTTTATCTGTAAGTTATTCACGGATGGCACTGTGACCCCTGGCGCCATACATACGAGAATATCTATGAACGTAATTGGAACAGCAACAATGTTGAGCCACCCACTCTAAAATTCGCTTTTTATAAGACGACACACTATTGCAAAAGTCCGGTCCACTCCGAGGTAGACGTACAGAGTGACCATTTTCCCTTGTCTCACCTTGGCGGGGATGAGCGATTATATACGTGTGTGTGTGTGTGTGTGTGTGTGTGTGTGTGTGTGTGTGTGTGTGTGTGTGTGTGTGTGTGTGTGTGTGTGTTTGTGTGTGTACATAAATACTTATCATATATATATAAACAAACATTTTCCTCATAGTTAGTACAAATATAAGACTGCTAGAAAGTATGTCTAGTCTCTTTCTTCATTTATCATAATTTTATTTTAGAAGCATTAGTAATGAAGGAAAGACCCTCTAAGGAACATGAAAAAATATATATCAGGTGATATAATCATACTACACACGAAGAGCTGCGAAAACGAATTTAAGCTGGTCATACTTCAGGCTTCACATCAGTATACAAAGAAAGTGAAAATACACCTCAGATAATGTGGGATGATAATCCAGTGATGGTAAGAGCAAAACCCAAACACACAAAAATCAAAACTGTAGCAAATTAAACGGGGATTTCGGTATCATTAGAATTCTAATTCTAGCATGTTTGTGCTCAAAACCATCTTCAGTTTATAGACTGAAGAGACTAGGTAATCATAAGGAATCTCTTGTCGATCAGATAGGACGATGACAAAGCTGAATTGACCGGATAATATTGTCTAAGAAACAAAAATGTGAAGTAAACGTACATCAGTACCATTTTAAAACGTACATCAGTAAAGTTGTACATCAGTACCATTTTAAAACGTGCATCAGTAAAGTCGTACATCAGTACCATTTTAATTGCTCAGAGAAAAAGAGAAAAAAGGAAAAGACACTGATAAAAAAGAAAATATCAATCATAAATCATATCATGATAATGCTTTGATGATAGTTACAGATAATGATTATGGTTGTGATGAATTAACGATATTGATAATAGTTATCCTTATAAGACTGATAATGACGAATTTAAAATGTCATATTTGAAAATATTACCAATATCAATAATCAGTGAAACGATAACAATTAATATAATAAAAGCTTTTACGTAATAATGGCAATAACCATTTTTATTACAATAGTTATTCTATTAATAATCCTCAAAACAAATGTAATAAGTAATAATAAAAATGAAG